CCTCGTTTTTATTTTTTCTTTCCTTGTTCCTTGTATTCTTTCTCACCTTTGTTTATCCTTACACTTTTTCTCTTTCTCTCTGCCTTTCCTGTCTCCAAGAAAGAATAAATAATACTGTTGGTTGGTTTCCAGTGGCTGCATTTGGGATCATTTAACCCATTTTGCTTCTTGCTTCCCAAAAGAGAGCGCTCAAGTTCTTGCTCTGTTCCATGTTAAAGAAGTTCGCACTTTTCTTTTGGGAAGCTGATGATTTTGCTGGTGAGGGCCATCAGCAGTTTACCTGACCTGACCCAGAGGCACACCTATAGAGGACAGAAATGTTAGGGCAAAAACACACTATTACAGCCCAAAACTTAACAATGTTTCTGTGACGATGTTGGTAAGGAGCTAACCAAGAGTGATATGATGAATTGTGAGTAAGTAGAGTCTAGGGGGTTCTGACAGTGGTGTATAACTCTCAGAATTTGCTTAGTGGGGAAGTAGAGTCCAGCTTGGTCCACTCAGCACCACAGCCACTGATTGACCTATTGTACCTGCCCTGGGTGATTATGATGATGGAGAATTTGGTGGAATGAAGATTGGCAGGGGAAACTGAAGTACTCAGACAAAACCTACCCCAGCACCACACTGACCAGCATAAATCCCACTTGACCAGACCCGGGATTGAACCCAGGCCGTCTCAATGGGAAGCCATTGACTAACAGCTTGAGCTATGGTGCGGCCGTACACTCAGAATTACTGTGTTTTCTAGTCTGTAGATTACCAGACGATGGGAAAAGTCCAAAACCCAGCAATTCTGAACTGTGAGGAGTTTTAAATTCTTGTGAACATGTAATTACCCGTAAATAAGAGTCATTAGTATCAAATTCAGTTACTGTTCTCAACCTTGTGTCTAGTCACTATGATGTGACAGTTTGTTAATGCATTGAAATATGCAAACAGATACATGTTCTGGCCTTGTGAGTTATGACACCATGTAGTCTGGGTACAACAGCATTTCGGAGGAGCATACTACCTCCATCTTCTACCCTGAAGATGGATGTATTATGTTCCTTTGAAATATGGGTATACACATATGAGACTACATATCATCACCCCCCAACCTCATTATGAACCTCCACAATTGACCTAATCCTTCCAGCCGCACTATGGCCCTGGGGTCGACTTATCCTCTAACAGAAATGAGTATTAAGAATCTTCCTGGGGGGTAAAGGGATGCCTGTTGGTGCGTAAGGCTTACAACCCCATCACCATCTGTTTGTTGATCGTCTACAGAATGTGGGAGCCTCAACATCTCACAACCCTATGGGCCTCCACTGCCTGTTAACAGGGATAACTTTTACATGCTTGTGTTGTCTTCACTCTATTGTTCAGTATTACACCTGTGTCTGAGAGGTTCATAATGAAACTCACCAGAATATTGATTTTTTTTTGTTGGTAAGTTTGTGAGCAAAATAAGTTTCCCATCCCTCCTTATTTCTGTATTTGTTTCCTTCCGGTTCCATAAAATGCAGGGAAGTTTTGAAGTAGCTGCACAATTGGTGGCTTCTCAATAAGGGCTCACCTCCATGAGTGAGTGAGTTTCCATCAATACGAGGGGGGACCCAAAAATATCCGGAACCGACCTGTTGCGCGCGCATGCTTTGTAGTTACGAGTTGTGCTGCTAGGTGGTGTTAGCTGGGGGTCTCCCGCGACTGTTAGTGAGCTGGCGTCAGTCTGAGTTAAGTGGTTTGTCTGTGGTGCTCTGTTGTGTGCGTTCCTGTTTCAACCCTTTGGCGATTAGTGAGATGGCCGACCAGAAGGAACAAAGAGTGTGCGTGAAATTTTGCTTTCTGTTAGGGAAAACTGCAGCCGAGACTGTTGGGAAGCACGATCCAGCGAATTTTAACCGAAGGTTTGCACATGAGACGGGTGTCTGCAAAATTTGTTCCTCGCTTGCTCGGAGATGACCAAAGAGAAAACCGCGTGAATGTTTGCCGCGACTTGAAGAGTGAAGTGCAGAACGATCCAGAATTTCACGCACACTGTTTGTTCCTTCTGGTCAGCAATCTCACTAATCGCCAAAGGGTTGAAACAGGAACGCACACAACAGAGCACCACAGACAAACCACTTAACTCAGACTGACGCTAGCTCACTAACAGTTGCGGGAGACCGCCAGCTAACACCACCTAGCAGCACAACTCGTAACTGCAAAGCATGCGCGCGCAACAGGTTAGTTCCGGTTATTTTTGGGTCTCCCTTCGTATATTTCCCTCGTTTTTATTTTTTCTTTCCTTGTTCCTTGTATTCTTTCTCACCTTTGTTTATCCTTACACTTTTTCTCTTTCTCTCTGCCTTTCCTGTCTCCAAGAAAGAATAAATAATACTGTTGGTTGGTTTCCAGTGGCTGCATTTGGGATCATTTAACCCATTTTGCTTCTTGCTTCCCAAAAGAGAGCGCTCAAGTTCTTGCTCTGTTCCATGTTAAAGAAGTTCGCACTTTTCTTTTTGGAAGCTGTGCCAGGTTTGTTGCTCATTTTGCACTACCCAGGGGACACGTATGACTTAAAGAATGTCACGGATGCGAGCAATGTGGGCCCCCAAATAATAATTTATAAAAATCAAGGTACATTGAACACTGCTAGTTGGTTAGATATTAGGTCCATATGGTTATAAATATGAAGATTATGGTTTTCTGTATTGTGGTGCTGTGTAGCTTGGCAGATGGTTCTCAGCCTTTGTCAAGACTGCGGCCCAGTAAATTCTTTTTTCTATAAGATGAGGGCCTGGTACCGGGCAGCGGCCCAGCGGTTGAGAAACACTGTCCTAAACTACATAGTATCACACTCACCAAGTCAGTATAGTGGTAAAACTGTGGATTTTTATTCAGGATGTGCTTGGTTTGAATCTCACGTAGAACACTTCTCTTCCTGACCGAGAGTTTCTGTGTGGTTTCAGTTTGCCATCAGCAAATAATAAACTAGTACTTTGTTAGCTCACAATCACTTCCTTCTAAATCCTTTCCAGTTCATCTATCATCATACTATTTGATGATAGGTATTCTGAGATACTGACATAAAATAAACCACGAAACAAAACTTAATTCAATAACATTGCAGAAGACTATAATATTCACAAGTTTCATTATCTGTATGATTTTATTTCCAAGTGCACTGTGGTTACAGATTTACACCTTAACAATGTACTTTGTTACAGGCCATTAAAGTGCATCTCCATAATGTACCATGTTCCTCATTTGATGAACGGATGGCCCTCCGTGTACGAGAATTGGTTCCGTTTGATGAATGTGTCTTAGTGAAGACCATATCTGCCAGATCACCGAGTATCATTCCTGTGGTGGAGATATTTAAACGTATCCAGCCAGACAATCTTCTTGTGTCTGTTAATAGCACTTTGNCGCACTATGGCCCTGGGGTCGACTTATCCTCTAACAGAAATGAGTATTAAGAATCTTCCTGGGGGGTAAAGGGATGCCTGTTGGTGCGTAAGGCTTACAACCCCATCACCATCTGTTTGTTGATCGTCTACAGNCTTTTTTTTCTTCATAGTTGTAAACGTGTTTCGCTATGCGTCACTGTGAATGGGTTGAATATGTTTTCCCCGTCCCCTGATTTAATTATGTACGTCAGTATTAATGATAGATTGACAGCTTTTCATGAAACAGGGTCATCTTCAGACCTTGCAGTGCCTTGTCATGAGAGTACCAACCTGTAACCATCAAACTTCTGAGGCGGGAAGATATTTTCATTCTTCCAGAATAGCTCACGAAACATCATAGCTTGGCGTATGAAATTTGAATGATGACTTCTCATAAACACAGTTACATTAAGATATATAAAATGTAACACTGAAACCCTAAAATTTACCACATCGATTACAAGAACTTTTAACCCCATCAGTACTAATAACAAGGCTGACTTGTGGATACAGTGAAATACCAAAGGATTATCGCATGAGTGACTCATCTGCTGGCCACATATTTCATAATGAGATTTAGTCTCAATTATTAAATTTTTAGGGATCTGAAGAAGGAACCCTATTAATGAGCTGTATGTATGTTCAGCCATGAACTTCAATATTGCACGCACTAATTTAGCAGTTTTTGTAGAAGTCTGATTGAATGTTATGATGCTGGATCTCTCCCCGCTCTCCTCACTTCTGAACTTCCTCTTTATTCGTTTGTTTGCTTATAGTTTATTCAACGATGGCAGTGAGTCATGAATTCTGACAGTTGTAGAAAAAAAGATCATGATGAAATTTAAAGTATTGTGAAGTTAAGACCCATTGGTAGGCAAAAACCTCAAAACAGACAATGAGACAACAGCCATTGCTATGTAGCGACGCGGTAAACATGCCTCTACAACGATAGAGTTTCTCTTGAGAATGTTGTTTTCTACTCAGTCCATGCAAAGGGGTTGTGAGGTAGACAATTGGGGTGACCCAGTCAGTTTAGAGAGAGTTCTGCACAGGAGGCTGTGAAGATAGAATCTGAGTGCTTGAAGCTGAAGAATCTTCACTGTTAGAATCCATTGCCAAGGAATGGCTAGTGATGACACAGCAGGCTGGAAAATGCTTAGTGTGTGTTGTGATAATTTGTAAACTGTGGAGAATCATAGTGTCACTGTATAATTGCTTGTAGTTCCGAGTTGTGTGTATAAGTGGTCAGTAAATCCATTCATCAATCCAGACCCCATCTGTAGTCAGCCATAAATCATGACAGTATTATCCTGGCTTTTGCGTGGAAGGAGTAGGAAGATCACGCAAATCTTCAGTAAAGGGTAGTCACTGTCATCGCTGAGATTTGAACCAGATGCTTCATGAATACAAATAACAAATGTTACTGGCTGTTGATGGTGTCAGTATGCCCATTGTGTACTCTTGCATGACGAGAAGAGAAGTCTCACTGTCGAATATGGGATTTGTATTTTTTCATGTGTCATAGACCTCCACCGAAACCAGCTGCCAAAGATAGCAACACTCTTTGTGGCAAGAAACGCTTGGAACGTTCACAGAGTCAAGGATTGGCTGTTTCAAACATTTGCCCATCTGATGGTCTTGGTAGTGGCAACAGCTCAGGGGCACTGCAGCACCTCACTCCTAAAGGCTTTAATTCATATGGTGAGTAATAGAATAATGTACCATATAACCCTGAATGTCAGGTGACTCCTATTTTTCCAATGTGAAAATGAAGGGGGGGGGGCAGTTTCTTTAAAATAATGGATGAAGGATTGAAATAAGAAAAATCTTTACTAGTCACACTGGACAGAACTCTTTAACCTCTTATGTTCTTTAAAAGAAATTGAATAAGTTGTTTGTTCTGAGAGTTTTAAAAAAAAGTAAAAACTGTGCTGTTAAGGAATAATAAATTGAAAATTTATTACTTTAGATATAATTCTAAGTTTTTTTCACAAATATTATTAGAAGTAGGAATTGGAACTCCTTATAATTATGTTCTCCATGTTTATTCTTAAGGACACAAAAATAAGATGACCCTTCTTTTCTTAGAAGTATTTGAAGAAAAACATCATATTATATTCAGACTGATATGGTATATGAAACAGCGGTTTTCAATCTTTTTTTAAACCATGGTCTGATGTAACATTGGTAGGTTTTCCAAGAAGTGAAGGCAATATCAAGCATTGTCTCTTTGCATCAAGTTTTGCATGAAGCTCGGTAAATCCACTACTGAAATCGTTGAAATGCTTTGTGAGGCTTCTGGAGAATATTCTTTAAGCCAGACAGCGGTTTTTGAATGGCATTCACGTTCCAAGGCCAGTTGAGTGTCAGTTGAATATGACAAACGTTCAGGGTGAACAAGCACCAGCAAGACAATGGAAAGTGTTGAAAAATTTGAGACCTCATCAACGAAGACCATTGCCAAACAGTCTCTGAGCTTGCAGACACTGTTGGAATCAGTTATGGAGTTTGCCAGGAGATCTTAACAGAACATTTGAACATGCGCCACATTACTCCTTCATCACGACAACGGGACGCCCACACGTCACTGAAGTCCGCAGAGGTTGTGACTAACAACAACATGGTTATCGTTCCCTATCCTCTCTTCTCACCAGACTTAACTCCCTTTGAGTTCGCTTTGTTTCCCAAATTGAAAACAAAACTGAAGGGATGACATTTTGAAACAGTGTCTGACACCCAAAGGGAATCGCAAGCAGTACTCTACAGCATTAAGGAAAATGGCTTCCACGGTGCTTCTGAAGCATGGGAAAAATGATAGGATCACTGTATACGTTCCCAAGGAGACTATTTTGAAGAAGTCTGGGGGAACTTTGCGATACACGTGGTATTTATAGGATTTAAGATTCTCACATTGGAGTAGTCAGTTTAAAGTCAACCAGTGTTATGGAAGAGCATGTGATTGTTTTTGAAGAGTTCTATCTTCATAGCCACTTTGCCTGTGCTTGGCTTATTCTTCGGTCCTGAAAATGGACGTAGCATGTCCCTCTGAAAATCTGTTGACTTTCAACAGACTACATGGGTTTATATCCCAGATAATAGAACTTGTTTTCTCGTTTCCTCAGATTAAATGGAACATTATATATAGCTGCTTTTCAGCTGTTCTTTATGTGTATTTAGATGATGAAACAGCGATGAAGGGACTCAGCCCACCGCAGATTCCACTTGTCAATGAATACTTTGATGTCATGGTGACTTTGGCAGCGAATCCAGGGAACTTCACGGTAATTTTAAGTTGATTATTTAATGATGTTTCAGTACCAAAATTATGTAGCATCAGTCTTCGAAGTTTTGTACAGTGTATAACAGCAGATGTTAAAAATTGGATAACCCTGGTGGTGCATAATAAGATATCAATGTAATAAGTTATACTTAGGTCCCTCCTTAAGGCTGCTCTACCTGAGTAGCCTACAGGCGTACCACCATTTCTTCTTTTCTTTGTGTGGCCCAGCAGATAAAAGACAGTCTTGCAATGTGGCACTTTGAAAGGAAAAGTAACATGAAAATCTGCCACTTAGGTTTGTTTGTATTGATACCAGGTTCAGCCATACAAAGATACAGAACAGCTGCATGAGATGATGAGGGACATGCAGATGCAGTACAATGAGCAGAGGTATCCACATCCGGCAGTTGATAACGTTAAAGAGGGCAGATTGTATGCTGCACTTCATCATGATGGTCTCTGGTACCGGTATGTTGTCACTTGTGCCCAGCCTTTCACATTTAGATTGGCTGCATGCAATGAAGCCTTCCCTCTCTTTTTGTGTTCCTCCTCTGATGTTATGTCTCCTATTCAGTGGGTACTGTGGGCTCTTTCCCCGGGGTTAAAGCGGCCGGGACGTGAAGCTGACCACTCACCTCCAACTAGTGCCGAGGTCAGGAAAACGTGGATCTGTACATGCACTCCCCCATACACGTTCATGGTGTAGTGCTTAATTAGTTAAGCACAGACAATTTGACTTACCTTTACCTTTTATGCTATAAGGAGTCAGGACACCTTAGTCAGTATAACTATGGGCCGGACAGTCATGTTTGATTCCTGACAGGGACAAGAGACTTTCATATACTCCACAGTGTCCAGACCAGCTCTGGGGCCCACCCAGCCTCCTGTCAAATAGGCATCAGGAGGTAAAGTGGCTGGGACACTGTTGTCGATGTTTCAGAGGTCTGCCACCTCCATTTTGAGGCAGCGTGTACCTCCAAAACGTCGGCACTGCCGTCCACAGCTACACAGTGTAACAACTCAAGAAGTAACATCAATAAATAACCACTGTTAAAGCCTAAAATCAGTATTTATGAATGTTGTCATGTGTAATTACAGAGTATGTGTGTCCAATGTTATCAATGATAACATGGTGTCGGTATACTTCTGTGACTATGGTGATGTATCAGTTATGTCCCTGGAGATGCTGCAGGCATTGACTGATCAGTTTAAAGAGCTCCCTTATCAAGCCATCAAAGCGAAACTTGCAGGTAAGTTTTGTGCCAGCAAGGATGTATGTTTGTCGAAGTGGATTCACCCTTTAATGGGTGAGAGAACTTGAATCTCCCAGCATAGAGCCTGCTAGAGAGATTTAAATTCTCCATCTCTCCTTCTGTTCCCACTAAAGGAGGAACTGCATTTGCATCAGAAACATTTTCAAGACTGTAAACATAACGGGTGTGTGTATAAATTCATTATTTTTGGACATGTTTCGTATTTCTTTAAATGTATGAGAAATATAAGGACTGCCTCTGTGGTCTAGTGGCCAGAGTTCCTGCCAACAGATCCAGAAGTCCCGGGTTCGATTACCTGTCCTACCAGATTTTCTGAGAAGTAGTGATTCTGGAACGGGGTCCACTCAGCCTCATGAGGATAATTGAGGAGCTATTTCAAGGAAATCGCGGCTCTGGTCTAGAAAACTGAGATTAATGGCCATGGGGATCCATGCGCTGACCACGCTACATCCTCTGTCCACTAAAGTTGACACTAACTTCGCCGGCAAACGGCTGTCACTTGGTCAGTATAGTTTGCTTGCTGACTAAAGCCATGGAGTTTGATTTTGTTTGTTTGTAGGAGAAACATAAAACATGTCTTCTATAACGTAATACCATATAGTCTGGTAAAAGTCAACCAGTTTTCCAGAGGAATATATCGCCTCCACGGTGCTATTTGAATTTTGCCACACTACTCTACAGATGAGAAAATCGGAAACATAATGTTGACGATTCTCATCGTGAGCCAGGGTAAATCATTTGGTGTAGTGATGGTCTGTGGGCTGGATGGCCAGATTGGCTCTGGGGCCCATCCAGCCTCCCATACAATGAGTACTTGGAGATCTTCCCCCAGTAGTTAGCAGCCAGGCATGTGTACGTAGCCATAGCTCAAGCGGTTAGTCACTGGCTTGCGATCACAGAGGCCCGGGTTCGATCCCGGGTCTGGTCAAGTGGGTTTTGTGGTGGACAAAGTGGCGCTGGGGTGGGTTTTCTACGAGTACTTTGGTTTCCCTTGCCAATCTTCATTCCACCAAATTCTCCATCATCATAATCACCCAAAGCAGGCTACAATAGGCCAATCAGTGGCTGCCTTGCCGAGTGGACCCAGTTGGACTCCACCCCATACTAAGCGAATTAATTAAATTAAGCCGCCAGGCATGANAACAGCTCGCAATAGCCACAGGAACGTTGCTGCAAGACAGGCATATGTAACGACGACTTAGCGCTCTTAAACGCGTGTGTCATTAAATACAGTCCTCCTGACAACAGGCCAGTGAAAAATCTAACAATCTACAGCAAAACCATCAATTATTATGGGCGTTATAACATACGTGTGCAGCTGGACGAAACATACACGTCGAACCCCCCCAGACGATTTAAATCCCTGACGAAACATACACGACGAACCACGGCAAGGGGTGAAGCTGACTGCTCACCTCGGTCTAGTGCTGGGATCGAGAATGGTGGAACTACACCTCCACTGCCACGTGCCTCCTTCATGTCCTGCTGCTTAATTAATTAAGCTCAGGGACAGATTTTACTTTTTTATTGTATTTATATTAAACTCGTTTCTCTTCAGGTATCCGACCCAAACACAGTGATTGGTCTGTCGAAGATTGCCTCATATTTCAAGAACTTGTTGTAAACCGGGAATTTGTATCGATCGTGATGGAAAAGGGGCCAGACATTCTGAATCCGACCAGCATGACTGTAGGATTGAGACTCATTGATACATCACAGGAGGAAGATGTCTGGATAGATGAGCTGTTAGTGAACCAAGAGAGGGCAGTTAAAATCACATAACACACCAAAGTATGTATGTATCTCAGTTGTGGTATGTCGTGTGTGTGTGTGTGTGTGCTTTATGAGCAAAGTCTTTCTTTTGGCACACAGAATTACTGGGTGTTTGGACTTTTCCATCATCCAGAATTCTAGGTAATAGAGGACATGACGTTTCAAAAACTGGATCTGTTTCCATCTTCAGGAGTAGGTGTCTTCCTTTCTCACCTGAAGATGGAAACAGATACAGTTTTTGAAACGTCATGTCCTCTATTACCTAGAATTCTGGACGATGGAAAAAGTCCGAAATCCCAGTAATTCTGTGTGCCATCCACCATCGTGAGAACCCTTTAGTATCTATCTTTTGGCTTTTGCAGTGGAAGGAATGTGCATGAATCTTTGGAAGTAAGTGGAAAACATAATTAATATTAATACTATGTTTTGTTAAATGTACTAAAAGATCAAAAGTAAGTCCGTTAATTTTGCAATCTTGGGTATGCATAGAGGGCGTATTTTGGGTGCTAGATTTGGCTTGAATGTGAATGTTAAATATGCAGTTCTTTCGATACCTGTTTTGAATCACTGTGGATTAGCTTTCACTAACAAATTATAAACTTTGGCACAGCTTTTCAACATCCGTATTCTGTTCTTAGATACCTCTTGATTAGTTCGAATGCAAACCTGCTTAACCATTTCATGCTTGAGTATTTATGTGGTAAGGTGATCCTATGACGTTGAGTATTAATTATCACAACATTAAAAAAATATGTTTTCTACATGAATTTTGTGGTATTTCATAACAGTTCATTGTAGGAGAATGCCAAGATATGACATTAGCTTCTGTTATTGTTGTTTTTTTGTTTTTTATATCTAGGAGGTGAGCATGAAGTTTTGAAGCATCACATGACAAGCAATAGCTCCATGCTCTGTCAGAAACACCAAACAGAGGTGCAGAATTTGTATCGTGATCTGGAACCAGTCCAGGAAGTGTGTCATACCATTTAAAACTGCATTCTGATTTTTTGTTGTTTTGTTTATGAACTCTGTAAACGTATGTATGTAAGTTCAGTTCCTTGGAATACATGAATGTTTGAAGCCCAAGAGTGAGAATTCCACTAATAATTTTAAGGTATGTTTTATAGTCTGTATCATTAGATTTTTATTTAATGTAGGTAGTCAAACTGTCTTCCTATTGGTTTAATGATGTAACCAGATTATGCGCTGTATTGCCTTGTACTGGTAGTTTGTCATATTGGCTAAATATTGTTAAAAAGTGGAGCCATGAAATTACAAGGCTTACCATTACCTACAAGCTGAAGTATAGTTGCCAGCCCTGTAATACCATGGGATTTCAAATGAAGGTATCCCATAATTTATGTGATAGTTGCATTCGCAATAGATGATTGTAATTTGAAATTTTGACTGTCTCTAGTTACTTCTTTAGTTTTACTCTGCCTTTAATTTTCATAGAAAATTATATGAATCGGTTAACTTGCCATTAACTGTAGCAATTTACAAAGCTTGATTTTTTTTTGTTTCAGGCAGGTAGTTTTATTGTTTCTAGTCATTACTGAGAAACAAATTAAATTAAAAAAAAATCATTTGGTATGACATTAATTCAAATTCATGTCAGCCAAAATTACATAATTTGGAAGTTTACTGCAGGCTGATAATTACGTACAGTTAGAATCTGGCCACCAATCATATAATACTGGGAGGCTTAAAACCTCTGTTCTTGGTGATAAAACATTATAACTTTGGGGTTTATTCAGAGGAGAATACAGAAATGAGCCTTGTTTATTATAATCTAACCATAATTGGTTACATATACTGTATTTATTCAAATGTAAGATGACCTCTTAAATTTTTTATTTTTCATGAAAAATATATTTATAACAATATTATAATTGCTCTAATTTGATTGTATTCAGAAATTTAGCTTTTGGTTACCCTGCCATTTGACCTCGATATTCACACAACAGGATGTCTGTAAATGAATTGCAGTAGATCTGTTTAATGAAACAAACTATTCTAAGTAAGTTTCAAGGTTTTCATGGCTTTGAGTGTTGAGTTATTATCTTCGGGGTTATGACACCATCTAGTATGGACCCTGAAGATGGAAGTAGCATGTACCTCTGAAGCATAATTATCTACCTACAATACTGCACAGGTCACAACTCATTAAGTTCTGAAAACTGAGTAACAAATTTGTTTCAGGTTTTGCTTTGTCTGTTTTAGGAACAGACGCCTTTTCCAGTTTGACAAGTCAACATTTCTTTTTCATGTGGGTAAAATACAGTGTTGTTTCCACTGACACAAATATACTCATACCAAAGAAGAGATTATTGGAACATTATCCTGATAAGTTGTCTCATTTTATTATATAGCATTGTAAATGTAATGTCAAAGATTAAGTAGTAAACACATTCCAACTTATTTTTGTGATGGCCAGGATGATAAATATCCAGTTTCTAAGGATTGTTAACCTTCCAGACCCATTATTGTAGCAGTATTATAATCTTGCTCATGAAACTTCAATATACAAAGAAAGGTACCTATATAAATGTTATATTTTGTAGCACTGAAAAGACATGAAATGCAGGAATAGCAATAATGTCGCTTTTTCAACCAATACGAATACTGGCAAACATGGCAAAGATCAGATTTCGCACATCTAGCGATGCATTGTATGTTTCAACCGTGAGGCCAAAAACCATTTTGGAGTCTACCGACAAATGTGTTTTTAGAGAATATAAACTGCTTCTAATTAATAGTATGTTATAATAATAATAATTAATATATGTGGTTCAGCAAATTCTTGCGTGATTCAGCAGTCAGACAAGAATTCTATTTGCCAGATAGTTCTGTACGAGACAAACTCTGCCTCCCTGCACTTCTGTAATTGGTGTACAATATTATGTATTCAAATTTCCTTTCACGGAGAAATAGTTCCAGAGTCTCACGTGCAGCACTGCTTCTTTTTACGCTATAAGTGTTGACCAATGTGGTCATCAGCAGGTTTTAAAAATTACTGGGTGAGGAAACTGCTGTCTTCTGTATCATTGTTGCTAAGTTTGTTATGTGTCATGTAATTACTTCTTCATATACTTAACTCAAGGTGATGGGTTGTGTTATTAACTCTTTGACTGGCGCGAAGGGTATTTAAATCCCACCCCTGTCCTGGCAGGCCCTTTAAACCTTATGTCGCTAAAATGCATGTAGTTACTTTTTCCTAAACAACTTCAACAAAAGTTGGTTTTTAAAAATGAAATTTTCAGGAACTAATTAAAATACAATATTTTATGCAATAAATGCCTTTCCATACCTCTTTATTAGTTTTTCTTCGTGTGATAAACATTGAAACATGAAAGTTTGCAGAGAGCCACACCACAGCCTGCACACATGATACTTGTTTCTTTTCTAATCTTGTGCTTAGCACTCACGCGACACTTTCTCAGGGCACCATTCTTCTTGTTACTGGGAGGAACATGGACCATTTTGTGAATTTTCAAGCCACCCTCTAGACGATTTACTGGCTCTTTCACTGGTGGTCTTTTCAAGGTCGAGGGCGGAGGCGTGACTGCACTCGAGTCTGACGCAATAGATTCGTCATCCACTTCATTCCTTGACTCTTCTCCCTCTCCACCCTGTTTGTTTGGTTCAGTCATTTTTCTACACAGTCCAATATAAAATCTTTGAATCTGTAATTTCTCTTCTTGTATTTTTCGTTTGTTGTGTTCTTTTTGAATAGAATGAAACTATTCAACTGCAAAGACATGTTTTGTCCATACCATGGGTGTGAAATAGGGGCCTAGTGGACAAATATTCTTCAATTTCAGGGCGTTTGTCGATTCCTGTCATGAACACAATTCCTAAGTATGTCCAGATTTAATCTGATGTGACATAATTGTAATTGTGTTTTCGAGAGTGAGGAGCTGACTCATGTGTGTTGAAGTGCTGGTGAGCATAGCGATTGGTTTCAGTTGTGATGTGATTTACCAAGTCGTCATCCAGAAAAAATTTTAATCCATGAAAAGGGATGCATTTTATGTGTTATATCAATTTTGATCCCGAAACTATTAGCAAATGGAAATATTGGGGGTACAATGTCTCCGTACGTTCATGAGATGGGCGTGTCAGGCACCGCACTCGTGGTAGGTAAATGTTCATGATTACTGTCTTGTGGATCATTGTCTATCACTGTATTATTGTCACTATCAACTTCATCCAATTCAGGAATCATTATTTCATCGCCACTATCATCATCAGAACAAATCTCGTTCACAACATTTTCCAGCTGGTCTGTAGGAACACGAAGACACTTGCTGCAAGAAGCCATGGTGAAACTGAATGAATGTGAAATATTTTCTGACCTTTTCCTTCTCAGAGGGTTCTGACAGTAATATAGACCCCCACAAAGTTTACAAGGGTTCTTTACAAACATGCACAAAAACTATCATATATATGTCTTTGGTTGATGAGTGCCAAGAGAGCAAAGAAGGGAAGAGATTGTCAAAGCGTTAAAACACGCCAACGCCAGGGAACGGCTGGCATCGTCCGGGCGTTAAAACACGCCCGCGCCAGTCAAAGAGTTAACAACCTAAGCAAAGATAACAGAAAACAGCAGTTTCCTCACCCATAATTTTTAACACCTGATGATGGCCACGTTGGTCAAGACATGTCACGTAAAACTTTGAAGTGAAAAACTTGGAACTAATCGATACTGAGAAGTGCAACAGGAGGCTGCAATATTATAAGAAAATATAATAAGAAAGCATATTAACAAATCAGTTTTAAGGATTTTTACACTTCTCATCCTCAATTTCAATCTACACTCAACATGGGCGATCAGATGAGTGGCATATAAGGGTATATTACAATTACCTGAAGACAGATCACATTAAAATTCATTGAGCAATATGTAATTTGAAGTTTTTGCAGTGACACTAAAGAGCAAAGTCTTCTCAGGCGGTCATTACCCCTGAAGATGAAGGCAGCAAAATCTGTGAAGCACATTGACACAAATGATTGATTGCCTGATATGTCATTGATTGGGAGCAATCTTGTAATTGTTTCCTTTGCTGGTTTAGTGTAAGGAACTAATGCCAATGTTTAATGTTACATAGTATTATTAATGATATCAATAAATTATTCTGTGTAAATACTTGACTTTTATAACTTTCAGGTCCTTCTTAATTTTATACTTCATGCAGTTTCCAGTTTTTGCATTTTTCAGTATATATCCATTGAAGTATTATAGAGTTTGTTGCCCACAATGTCAAATTCCATACTCTCAACATATTCTGTTACTATTTCTTGGAAATGCCTACATATTGAAGACTTCTAGGGGTGGGGGAGAAGCTGTCATAAGCTCTTCGTTTCTATGTATCCTTCCATGATATTTTGAAGAAGAGAGAGCAAATGAACCCTTGGAGTGACAGTGTGTTTTGTTTTGTTTATACCTGATATCTGTATCAAAGTGTTAAAGTGAATTACGCTAGTCGTGTAACTGAAGTGCCATATTTTGAGTTTCATCAGTGTCTGTTAGAGGGCTCAAGATATGCATGTAGGTTCATGCAGGCACTTAAGTAAAATGTCCCTGAAATTAATTAAGATTACTAACAGAAACGAGTACCAGGTATCTTCCTGGGGGTAAAGGGCGGCCTGTGCCTAAGGCTGACAATCTCACCGACATCTATGAGCCAGCTGTCTAGAAAATGTGGGAGCTTTGATGTCTGAGAACCCAGCGGCCCTTCACGGCCTGTTACAAGGATAGCTTTACCATTCTTACACATGATAACATGCATGTAATAGAAACTCCATGTATCAAAGTTTCATCAAAATCAAAGGTAATGAAATATATGTAATGTTTTATTTAGCCCCTTAACTCTTTCCACATAGATTTTGCTTCAGAAAACCAATGGCTTCTTTAGTTTTTATGATTTTAATATTCTGAGACTATAAATTATTGGTTTGAATTGTCACAAGATGGCAGGATAGTTTATTTTCGCGCTTCACAAGTTCTAGGGGCTAAGAAATTTGATCCTTCAAAGGAATTGACATGAATGAAACTTAATATAGAAACAGTCATGATAGAAGTACTGTATATAGAGTTGCACTGCCGCATGTTGAAGAGCGTATAAGTTATTTTAAGCCCACAGAATGAATTTATGTCAGTGAAATGTAATATTCGTACAATGGAGATAATACTAATTTTTAATAGACTTTTATAAAATGACAAAAATGTAGAACTTAGAAGTAAATTCAGATGTTTAATATAAAATGGTATTTAAAATCAAATACTGACCAAAATAAGAATTCATGTGTGATGTTTTGTGAAAGTCGGCTGTGCCAAGTTCAAATGTATGTACGTTCTTAACCATCAGACATGGATGTAGTGACTGTATGAGGCACTTTTAACTAATTTTTAGATATGCTTAAAACTTAAAATCATAATGCTCAGATTCAAAAGTAATTCAGGTTTCTGGTTTAGTTGCATTATGACATGGACTGTACCTGCTTTCGTCATTAAGTTCTTCGAAACATCTGATCGTGCTTACACCATTTCAGGTTGACGCAACGCTTTACCAAGTTCCATCAATATAGCATAATTATTGAATATTTATTTATGTTTATTTACAAATATATCATACATACAACATCTTGAAATGTTTATCTGCTAGAAACATTTCTTATTTATAATGCAGTGGACAGAACAGGGGAATTATTTTTCATAAACTTGACAGTATATTGGCTTGGAATACAAATTGTTAGTCCGTAATGTTAACCACTCTTGGTGTCATTCTTCCGTGGGATTGTATCTTTCGAGAACAGGGCTTCTGTGTCTTGTGTCATGCATAATATATCAGTTCATGTCCACCAAAATTTTAATATTTCAACTGAAACTTTTGCATTAGGCTACCAATATATGTACAGTCCGCCGAGACTTAATTTTTTATAAATATGCAGTGCACACAAGAACTTCAGCATGAGTAGGGTTAGAATAGGTTATGCGGAATGGTTAATTTGGCTTTTGGGGTTTATCAGTGTCATGTTGAAACTGTTCAGGGCTTTGGTGCACATTGCAATTTCCACGTTCAAGGTGAATGATGTCCGATATAGAGGTCATGCTTGTAAATATGAGGGTTGGGTAGATTCTAAAGGGTTCTGATGATGGCACACAGTACTCAGAATTACTGGGTTTTTGGGATTGGTCCATCATCCAATATTATAAAGAACACAACCTTTCAGAAACTGGATCTGTTTCTGTCCTCAGGTGAAGGAGGAAACTGTGTTTTCGATTGGTAGCTCGGTCTGCTAGCCACCTGCTCACACTGGTTCCTTGCTTGCGGATTTTTCTACCCTGAAGATGGAGGCGATATCTTCTTCTGAAATGTGAGTTCACACAAGATCTACATGGTGCCACATCCCAATAGACGGCATTCTTCATAGTCGCCGCTGTGAAGACCTCAAATCCTACACAGTGTTTTGTAGTTTCTAGAATACCAGATGATGCATAAAGTCCGAAAACCCAGTAATTCTGAGGGTTGGGGTGTGGGGGATGGTGATACCAATGGAAATCCTGGCTGTGCTAGAGAAGAATATTTGGAGGGAGGAAGTTAATTTAAACAACTTCTAGCATTTAAAAGTGTGGTCTCTTTGACTGTAATGTCATGTAGTTGGTAGTGAGGCTCACATTTCAGGGTTGAGGATTAGGCCAAGCAGGCAACAACTTGCTTGGCCTAATCTCTAACCCTGAATATGAAGGCCACATCTTCAAAACAGTATTACCTATGACACATTTAGACCAGCTGTAACTGTTGAGAAGGTCTGACATGAATATCTGGACAGTCTTATTATTATTTATTATTATTCTCAGTGGGGGTTAGACTTGAGTCCACTTGGCACTGCGGCCACTATTGGCCTGCTGTGCCAGCCCCGGATGATAGAGGAGGATGATTGTGGAGCAATTGGTGGAATGAAGATTGGCAGGGGAAACCAAAGTACATGGAGTAGACGTGCCCCAGTGCCACTTTGTCCAACAGAAATTTCACATAACCAGACACATGCTGCTGCAGTGGGAATCCAGCAACTAACCGCCTGAGCTATGGTTTGACCTATGTGGACAGTAGACATGGAAAGCTCCACGGATCATTAAGAGCATAGAGTGGTGTGATTGCTTTCTGTGTTAAAGTAGGATGCAAGGTGTTTGGCAAGGGGTTTGAGTTTGAAGCATAACATTCTTCTAAAACCACTGATTTTCAAGTCTGACTCACAGGTTATTTTTCATAAATTATATATAAAGCTTCAGGTGTAACCATTACTTAAAGTGTTACTGAGGGTTCTTTTGCCATATTTTGGTATTTTTTTTCCTTCATGTCCTCAAATATTGTACACTTACACCTAAAGCATTGATCCTGCATATGCAGAAAATTGGAATCAGTTTGTTGGTCAGGTGACACCAGTTTTTAGTGTTTAACTTAGATCGCTGTACCAAATATACATGTCTATGAGTGACAGATGTGCCTTGACACGTAAACCAGAGTGAGGCTTTGCTGTCTTTCTTATACGCTTCTTCTCGTGAGTGCACCAAGTTACCAAGTTGTAATGGTCATTCACATCCTCTTGGTGAATAGGTGGCCCTTCAGAGTTGCAGTCTAGAGTTTGTCTGTGGTGACATTGTAGCGCCAGGCGTGTGGCGGTGTGGCTGCCTCCGGTTCATCTTTTTTTGCCCCAGTTCTGTCCACATGCCGTCAGAACAAGTCTCGATCACGTTCCTTTGCGTGCCTCTTGAGCAGCACAAGACACACAACCAGCATGACAAGGAGGATCATCACAAACCCGATCAGCGTATACATTGCGCTCCTGAACGGCTGGCTTGAGTCTGCACCACAACGACATAGCCTTGTTAAAAGTAGAATAATTAATTCATTCCCCACCCCCACAGTAGCGTAGTTGGTTGAGGCACTATGCTACAAGCAGGTTGCAGGTTCAAGTCCTGATGAGGTGGATTCCCCCCCCCCCAAATTGACCTAACCCTTCCAGCCGCACAATGGCCCTGGGGCTCACTCAGCCTCCAACCAGGAGTACCAGGAATATTCCTGGGGATAAAGGGTGGCCAGTGCATAAGGCTGACAACTTCACCTCCATCTGTGAGTTGAGTGTATGGAAAATGTGGGAGCCTCGACGTCTCACAACCCTATGGGCCGCCACGGCCTGTTACAGGGATAGCCTTACCTTTACCCTCTATTATTTATTTGTGAAATACTCAGAGACGCAGAATCAGGGTATGATGCCAGTAAAAAGGGAAAGGGCTCAGGTTTGGAAACTGATTACTGAATGGTATCATTATGAATTGCAAACAAAATAGTGATTAATGTTGTTACTTGTGGAAATTAGAAGGTAGAAGGGCTCTGCTTACATACAATCCAAGCATAGTATCCAGTACTGAAAAAAAGCACAGATTACAGTTTAAAGAAACTGTTCTAAATAAAGAGACCACCGGGAAGACCAAGGCGTAGGTGCGTGGACAATATTAAAATGGATCTTAGAGAGCTAGGATGGGATGTTATGGATTGGATAGATCTGGCTCAGGATAGGGACCAGTGGAGGGCTCTTGTGAACACAGTAATGAACCTTCGGGTTCCATAAAATGCTGGGAAATTCTTGAGTAGCTGCCGAATTGGCGGCTCCTCCAGAAGAGCTCAGCTCCATGAGTAAGTAAGTAAGTAATTCTAAATAAACATTTTTCATTAAAATAACAGGCGACAGGCACTACTGGTATATCCAGCTGCTGAACCAATCTTTATGAAACTCATATCATGGCATCTGAGCCCATCTCAACTGCGTACTTTATAAATCCCTCCCTTCAGTCAATTTTTAAGCAAAATGTATATGACCTTTCATTGCTAGGCAACGGCTCGGTAAACACGAATACAACAATATAATTCGACGCGTTTCTGTGGGTCTGTCTATGCCCTCATTTATGTTAGGTAACAAGTCGGTAAAGACTTTCCTGCGGCAGCGAAGAATTGTTGAAGGAGTTTTCAATGCAGTCCGTGTATCAAGGGAAAAGCGATTAGTTCTTCCAAGAACTTTTTGTATTTTTTCTGATAGGATTGTATATGATATTTAGATTGGTAATACAAGCGGTGTGTATGTCGGAAATTTGAAATTGCAAAGAAACGTTTCATATTGAATAGTAAGAGACAATGAAGACAGAAGAATTAAAACGTATATGCCGGAAAAGTGCGTTAGAAATGTGAAATCGCTGAGGATGAGAACCGGTAGTCGGTTATTTTGATCAAGATGAAATTTCAGATTCTTTAAAAAGCAGGAGGTTCCTTGACGTGCTGATAACCATCAACAAACGACCTTGCAAGGTTGAGTCAGTTGAAATAGCGTGAAATGGCGGCTGCTTACCCTGGCCTAGTCTTGAGTCCGTGGTTCTGCTGTTCGTGTCGCCCTGCGCGTCTGCAGCGTTCAGCTGTTTGAGACGGGGCAACAGTTCGTTCCACAGACTGGCCACCCCCTCCCCCAGCTCACACCTCTGTGTCTGCTGCTGCTGGTCACTTCTAAGGACCACGCAGTTGTAGTCCTCAGGCGTCGCTCGTTTCCATGACAACCCATACCCGAAAGATCCTGGTGCATTTGGATTTCTGTATCGAGTCATAAAAAAAACTGATTTATAGGATATGAAGCCGTGCAGTCTGTTGCAGTGTCACCAACTTTTCAGGGGAACGTATTGCCTCCATCTTCAGACCGAAAAATATTATTAAAATGGTAAATATTCAGGCATTTATAAGGAGATGCCAGGGTCGAATTTCCTGCAAGACACTGACTATCCTGACGGAGGTATTTCGATGTTTTCCTCAGTCCATCAATGTGAATTCGGGTATAAAAACTCCATAGTCTTTAGTCCGCAAGTGAACTATACCGACCGAGCGACCGCCGCTTGTCGGCGAAGTTAGTGCCAACTTTTGCGGATAGAGGTCGCGCGGTCAGTGCAACGGATTCCCACGGACGTTAATCTCGGTTTGCTAGACGGATCTGCTATTTTCCCATTCAAATAGCTCCTCAATTATCCTCACGAGGCTGAGTGGAACCCATTCCAGACCCACTACTTCTCAGAAAATCTTGTAACGCCGGGAATCGTACCCGGGGCCTCTGAAACTGTAGCCAGGAACTCTGGTGGGGATAGTACCTACAAATAGACCATGACCTTCCCAATTCAGCAGTCATTCGAATGAAATATAGTCAGAATTACTGACTTCGCTGTTAACTAAAGTGAACAAAAGGGTAACGCTATCTCTGTAACAGGCCGTGGAGGGCCATAGTGTTGTGAGACGTCGAGACTCCCACATGTTCTAGTCAGTCGCTGACAGATGTCGGTTAGGTCCTCAGCATAACGCTCCGGCCACCGTTTACCCCCAGGAAGATTCCTGGTACCCATTTCTGTTAGAGGCTGAGTCGACCCCAGGGCCATAGTGCGACTGGAAGGATTAGGTTAATTGAAAATCCAATGACATGGGAATCGAACCCGCGACCTTCCGGCTTGTAGCATAGTGTTCCAACCAACTACTCTACTGCGTGAATCATAATAAGATATCCATTCTAGGGACATAACGCCCTAGAATTCGAGCTTTGAATCACCTAAATCACTCGGAGGACTTCGTCAAGATCACATTTCCATTGTGTCACAGGACTTCCCCTATCTAGTCATTTATAATTCCATGCCATCGTCTGTCAACTACCTTCGTTCTGTCTACATGATTTTCACGAGTTTTAGTTTGAGCAGTGGTAGAATTGAGTGTGTGAGCTGAACTAAGCATCACATCGTGATAAGGTAAGGCATAGTCTCACATCTCCACGCATTGTTAACCTCGGACGTAGATGGAGGTGGGTAGTCAGCTTCACGCCTCGGCAGCTTTACTCCCGTGAGGAGAACCTCAGTTCCTATGGCACAGGAAACTATTTGGGGCCCCCAAAAGCAGTCTAGGCGAATTGGGGGAAATTAAGAATTTTTGCTCCTATCAATAATCGTACTTTCAATTTCCGGGTTTTCCAGTCTGTATATTTGATTAAGTATTTAAAATTAATCCTTTTTTGGAGCTTCTAATTTTCTTTTGCTTCTTTTTTATTACCGTATTTACGCATGTATAGGCCGCACATTTTTGGCCAAAAATTCAAGAGGAAAACTCGGGTTCGGCTTATATTCGAAATATTCGAAATCACACTTCATTTAAAAAAAAATTATATTCATAATTAGTAATACTCCTGAAATAATATTCCAAGAAAATTATTTTTTCTATAATTTCTGTCTGAAAATTGTGCTGCGGCCTATACACGCACGCGGCATATACATGCGTAAATACGGTATTGCTACTGGGGTGGGACTAAGTCCCTTGTACTGCGGCCATTTCTGGCCAATTGTACCAGCCCCAGATGATAGGTGAGGTTGATTGTGGAACAATTGGTGGAATGAAGATTGGCAGGGGAAACCGAAGTACTCGGAGAAAACCTGCCCCAGCGCCACTTTGCCCATTTTGCCTCTTTTTAATCATCACGTGAACCGTTCTACCGCCGATTTCCATATGTTACAGTGTCTAGACGTGGCAGACTTGGATCTGGTCGAACCCACGCACTGAAACACAAGAACTGCCAGGACACCGATGCTTTCCAGCTGCGTTTCCCTTTTCATATTCTCGTGAATATCCAAGGCAATTGAGGGCATTGGCGTTCTTTTCTCTTCGTTCACGATTTTTACATTTATCACCCCTCACTCTCTGAATCATTGACTTAAGTGTAAGTATTTTCACCAAAACTTTTCGTTTTTGTTCTGGTCCTTATCTACTTTGCGTTGCGTACAGATTTAAACTTTATGGGTTACAACCAGGCCTTAAATTGCAACAGCCTCTCCCCCGAGCCTCACTATGGCCCTGGGGTCGACTCAGCCTCTAACAGAAATGAGTACCAGGAATCTTCCGGGGGGTAAACTGTGGCCGGCGCGTAGGGCTGACAACCTCACCACCATCTATGAGCCGATTGTCTAAAAAGTGTGGGAGCCTCGACGTCTCACATTCGTATGAGCCTCCACGGCCGGTTACAGGGGCAGCTTTACCATTTTTACCGTTTACCCTTTGTCCTGAAAATGCAACCGCAACCACTATCCCGCTCTTTCGTCACCCAGAGACGAGGTTGTACTTGCCCTTGTCTGATGAAATCAGCCCAGTGTCTTCTGATCTTCTTGCTGAAGCGATCCTCAGCTTGGGTAAACCTTCTTCCCCCCAGCTTCCTCATCAGTGTAGGTCCGAACAGGTAAAGGAACTCCGCGCCATGGGCAGATCCTGAAAACCATCCACTTAACATGGGTATCTGCCAACATTCATGTCCGTGTTGTTAGTACTGGCCGCTCTCATCAGAGTGCGCTGTGGGTTTGGTCGTGTTCACTGAGATAAGGATTGCGGGGTGTTCGTGAGTTATAACCAGAGCCCGGATTTTGATGACATGTCATCTTTTTTTCCTCGTATCCTATGCGATGCTCTTAAGTATATAAATCTCGGATATGAACGGCTGGTTACAGAAATGTAAATTTTATAGGTAATTTGTCATTTTTTTACATTTTTAGATTTAAGGTCTTTTTTTTCATTTTGGGGGTAATTTTTTGGTAAATTGTTGGACTTTTAAGGGTATTTCTTGTCATTTTTTGGCCATTTTAGGGAATTTTTCTTCATATGTTTTCTGAAATGTGAATAACATGGAAACGAAGTGTTCTTTCTTTTCTCCTTTGGGCCATTTTTCTGAATTTTTCGGTCATTTTATAGGTCATTTTTTTAATATTTTCAGGGCATCAAAATCCGGGCCCTGGTTATAACAGAGCCTTACCTACATGCGTCACCCTCCCACATTGAAGCAACACAGCCACTGTCCCGCTGCTTCTTGCCATATTAGACCAGGTCTAAGAACATGCGTTTATTGCAATGGTGCCCACGAATTTAAATGAACATATGTTACAAATTTTGAAATGAAAGGTGATGCTGTGTGTAAGCATTACCTTTACGTTGCTAGTGGGGTGGGACTAAGTCCCTTGTACTGCGGCCGCTTCTGGCCTATTGTACCAGCCCCAGATGATAGGTGAGGGTGATTGTGGAGCAACTGGTGGAATGAAGATTGGCAGGGGAATCCGAAGTACTCGGTGTGTAAGTATTAGGCACATCGTTGTTTTTTTTATTACGTTTTGCCTAAGGTCACACCACTGCACTGTACACAAAGTGTACAGTGCAGTGGTCTCCGCGATAATGAGTATTTCCTGATAATTGCCCATTTATGGCCGAAACATGTTGCAACAAGGAATGAATGTATATAGTTAATGTCATTTAAAATATCCTTGTAACAGGCCATGGAGACCCATAGGGTTGTGAGATGTTGAGGTTCCCACATTTTCTAGACAATCGGCTCACAGATGGCAGCAAGGTTGTCAGCCTTACGCGCCGGCCGCCCTTTACCCCCAAGAATATTTCTGGTACTCATTTCTGTTAGAGGCTGAGTCGACCCCAGGGCCTTACTGCCTTTGAAGGTATTAGGTAAATTGAAAAAATCCAGTGACCTCATCGGGATTCGATCCCGCCACCTTCCAGCTTGTAGCATAGTGCCTCAACCAACTACGCTGCACTACATTTAAAAAATTATGCTTGAAGTAGAGACGGGCGAAACAGTTTATAAACATATACTTTTAAAATGATGGTTTATAAACTGCAGGGGGCCGTCAAGCCCGTAGCACGTCGGTTCCCAGATGAATGATGAATTGCAAGGATGATGATGTAGTCTGAATGAAGTATTGTGTCTGCAATATCTTTAACGGTACGTCACACCTTGAATAGGCAACTTTACGGAACGAAATTTCCCTTTTGATGATAAGAGATCTCTGATGTAGACATTTTTAGTTATTATCGTGCACTGAAATTAGAATCTAGTAACTTTCTAATGATGAAGTAACGATACACGTCTCTAACTGACGATGACGCGCCGTGAAAAATACATTAGGCATAGTTTAATTAATGAATATGTGAACAATAATCTAAGTTGGTGTACCTGAGATGTTGAGGGTGTTGCCATAGAGGTCCGGCGCACCAGTTTCTTCGAACTTGTACACGAAGAGCTGGCCTGGAGAGCGAGACAGTAATGCCAACTGACGCATATGAGGAGCAGCGAATTGTGAGTCCGTGTAGAACTGAAAGGGGAAAGTGATAGAAGTGCCTTAGAATTCGCAGTTCAAGTTACAAAATGGTCGTCACATCGGACATATGCTTAACCACATCTGAGCACGACATATCTGTTTACGGATTTATATTTATGACATGTGTACCTTGAACAGTAGGTCCTACAGCCACTTCCCATACGTCTTCATGGTGAAGTGTTTAATTAGTTAAGCAGAGGGACAACTTTACCGTATATTTTATGTGCAACATTTATATTAATTTAATTATGGCATATTTTACACGTTCAGAGACATTCTGCTGAAAGAGAAGATCCGTTTTATAACGCCTCTGATGGCTACAACTGGAACAAAGCTTTTGGTCAAGAGATTGCTGTAAAAGTGGCAGACGAGGGTCAGGCTTACTCACATCCAAGAGTTTTCCAAGCAATGAGTTGGCATCTCCTTCTCTCGCCTTCCCCGGGTATTGCCACTTCAGAATCTCCAGTACCTCCCTCTCCTTGTCGAAACCGTAGTGCTCCATGACACTGGGGATGGCAGAGTTCTCGAAGAAGTGAAGCAGTTGCACATAACTCTGCTTCACCAGATCGCTCCATTGGTCTGCACACATTTTCACAGGAAACCACACCGAGTCTTCATTTCATTGAACAATTAGTTAATTCTATTTAAGATATTGTGGCGTATACATCCGTTGCTAAGCGGTGATTCTGTAACCAACTACCGTTTCTGGGCAACGGCTCGGCAAACCCGTTCCCGCGGCAACGAATACACATGCAGCAATATAGTTACTTTTGGAAACGGGGTGTTTTCTGCGTTGTCCGTGCCGAGATGTTATAACCAGGACAGTTCGGAGCGATGAGTGTGAAAGGTCAAGTGTATTCGTAAGAGACAAACCCATCTTCTCGTCAGAGAGCATGTTACATAAGGACTATTACCGCAAGAGTTCAGTTTGGAAAAAAAATCTCTGGTCGTGGGCCTCAAGGGGCCTGACGCCAAGACGAACTGATTGGCGGTAAACCTCCAGTCGTAAAGTAATTCTGACGCTGACTCTGACAATGAGTTCATTTGTGGGGTATTAGCCAGCGAGCAAAGGCGAGAACACAGAAGCTGAAGAATCTCCACAGTTAAGATCCGTTACAAGGATACGACTAGCGAAAGCAGACTGAGAAGACAGCGTGTGCTGTAGTAATTTGTAAAGTGTGGCGCTATAATTGCTTGTACTACCGGGTCGTGTCTATAGGTTGTTAGTAAATCCATTCACCAATGCAACCCCCGTCTATAGGCACGCATACATGTGGCAATATGTTTACCCCTGTGAGGCTTCAGGTTTTCACGGGTGGAGCTTGAGGTGTGATTTTCGAGAATACGCCTGGTACAACTTTGCAAGATCTCAACGTTTCGACAAACCTTCCAATGGCCATCTTCAGGATAAATATCAATCGGAAGAAAATATTACCGGAACCTTGGAAGACTCGCAACAGTCTACACGGCGTATTACCAAAGCCACACATTATCTTTGTTATATAAGGTTCTCACAGCGGTAAGGTAAAGTTACATTTCGGAAGGATGCACAATGTCCATCTTCAGGATAGATGAGAAAGCCAAGCAAAGCGAAATTGTTGCTTTGCTTACTTTTCGACACTGAATAGGGAGGCTCTACATTCCTCCGAAACGTCGGTGAACTTGTACCAGACTACATGATGCCATGTCATAGTAGATAGTCAACTGTGATATTTTACACCAATACTCACATAAAGTCACGGCGCCTTCGTGCCTAGTTGTACCTGTCAGCACAGGCATTGTTACGTAATTTCCTGTTTGGAGAACTTCCTTTGGATCACGTGGGAGATATGATTCTGGTTCCGGAAGAAACGAGTCAACAACTGGGAGCACCATCGCTGTCCAGTTGCCGTTCTGTAAGAAGAATTTAAACATAAATTAAACCTAAGAAATTCTGTGTCAAAAACATCTTTGAGATTACATCATCATTAGACGATGGCGTAGACATTTACGTCATAATTAGGAAATAACTAGATTTTTCTTGTTCAATACACGATGAAAAGTAATATTGCCATACTAGAGATCTCGTTAAATACATATTTTTTTCCCCTAATGTTGGCTTCTCAAGTCATGACGTGCCTTCAGATGTTTTAGATGAGGAATTCTGGGTAACGCCATTTTGTCTCCGTAGGTTATATAATGGTGATTGTATTCGTAGAATGATGACAGACAATAAATTGGAAATTATGTAGAAATGGCGGTCGGTATTTCAGAGGAAGCACTGAGTAATCCCACGACAAACAGGCGGTGTTGGGCTATGCTTGAACCTGTGCAGTATGAAGGCACGTGACTTCTAGAACACGCTGAGCACCGTACGTGAGGGCACAGCTGTGAATTTGCGCCTTACATTACTACTGAAGTTCAGTTCTGTTTTAACGAACGTATTTATCATGCTTTATCGAGAATTTCGTTCTGGTAGAGGGTGTACCCGGATTAACTTAGCACCACAAGCAGCTAGAATATTCCGAATGCCTGAGATTCATACTGTGTAGGTTAATAAACCCAGAATTTATTTCACTTTGTCAGTTGAAAATTTGTGTCTTGGTTTTTAAGGGCCAGTTTCCTATCCGCGTGCAGCGGTTATATCTCAGTAAAAAAAAAATATGAAGTTATCTCTGTAACAGGCCATGAAGGCCCATAGGTTTGTGAGAGGTTGAGGCTCCCACATTTTCTAGACTATCGTCTCACAGATGGCGGTAAGGTTGTCAGCCTTACGCACCGGTCGTCCTTTATCCCCCAGGAAGATTTCTGGTATTCATTTCTGGAAAGATAAGGTCAATTGAAAAAATCCACCTCGTCGGGACTCGAACCTGCGACCTTCCGTCTTCTAGCATAGTGCCTCAACCAACTATGCTACCGTGAAACCCCTATATCTCAATATAGTAATTAGAATTCTATCTTGTGGGATATAACTCCAGTTATCGTGATTCTTTCTCGTGGTTGTCCTCAATTCTCCCCAATAAAATACCTGTATAGTACCCTAAAGTAGTCCACAAATCATTTCTATATACTTGCTAGTTCGCTATTCATTAGCCGCCCGTACAGCCTCATATTTTCTGAGCGGACCGTACGTACAAAAGTACATGTGTAATTTTTTTGCGGAAAGACCTGCAATTTATATCGTGTTTGTTAAGAAGGCTCTAATCCTCTGAAACGTAGCTCCGTGTAGTTCGTTGCCTCCGCTTGCTAACTGCTTCATGCTGGTTTCTTGCTAGGCTCCTCCGAAACGTCGGTTGACTTTCAAGAGACTGCAAGGAGAACCTCAAATCCGACATGATTATTAAAGTTGAACTGCATGTTTGAGAATAGGAACCCTGATAGCTCGATCGGTATAGCGACTGGCTACGGGTTGGACTACCGAGGGATGAGTGTTCGAGTCCCGGTAGGGGGCAAAAATATTTTCTGTTCTCAACGTCATTCAGACCAATTCTTGGGCCCAGCTAGCCTCCTATCCAAAGGGTACCATGATATATTTTCCCGGGGGTGAAGCAGATGGGGCATGAAGCTCACATCTGAAATTAGTGCCAAAGTCAATACAACTTGTATTTTTAGTGTTCATGGCGTAGTGTTTAATTAGTTAAGAACAGGGGCAACTTTAAGCTTTGTCTTTTGTTTCATTATGTTTGAGGATATTCTGAAGAGAATTCTGTAAGTCCTGTCCTAGCAACGTAAATTTTATCAAATTTAGGATTGCTTTTCTATGTAACTGTAAACTGTACTTTCTGTGAAATTTGAATCTCATGCCATCCAGAATTCGTTGTACCCGCTGTCCTTGTAAACTTATTTATAATGATTTTCTTCTAGAATAATTTTTTAATTATCTTTTTAATAAGTTGTTAATAAACAAGTCAGCACCTGTAGGGATCCGGAACCACATCTGTGTATGATTTCATAATTAATAGAGCATACTTATATAATTGCTTATTGACTGACTCCATAGAGTTGGGTCCTTCTTGAGAAGCCTCCAGTCGCTCAGCTACTCAAGAATTTCCCAACATTTTATGGAACCCGAAGGTTCATTACCGTGTTCACAAGAGCCAGCCACCGGTCTCTATCCCGAGCCAGATGAATCCAGTCCATATCAACCCATCGTATTACTCTAAGATTCACTTTAATATTGTTCTCTAACTTACTCCTAGGTCATCTTCAATTGCTTATTAGCATAACGGGTACCTGGGTTTCTTGCCCTGGGAGTAAAGCGGTCGGGTTTCACTTCCATCTAGTGCCGAGGTAAGAATGGTGGAGCTATACCTCCACTCGCCTCATAAATCTTGATGGCGTGGTGCCTAATGACTTGAGCACAGGGGTAACTTTACCGCTACCTTACATGCATCTGGAATTGTTAGGAGATGGGGCTTGCAGCCCTTACTTTGTACTGAGTTTCGAAGGCCCTCAGGATCTCTGCGGTGGACTTGGTCCGGAGGCAGGTGAGGATGGCGCGGGAAGTGGCCGCCAGGCAGCCCAGACTGCGGGCTATCCCCCGAGACGAGTTGGCGGGATGCGGTGCCCCAGACCAAGGCGAGGTTACGCTCCCAGACATGATGATAGCCCTGTGGAACAGGCCTGCGGAGAGAACAGGGACGCATGCAGTCAGCCGAGCCGTGTTCGCACGTGTTGCTGGATGTGTGGATGACTGACAGAAGAGAAATAGATTAGCACAGTCATGCAGACCATGTTCAAGAAGGAGAGAAGCAGCTGCCTGAGGAAGAGAAGGTTAAGAAGGATAGGATGAAGGTACAGAGAAGAGAAAGTAGGAAAATAAGTTGGAGGGACAGGAAGAGTATAAGAAAGTAAAGCTATCCCTGTAACAGGCCGTGGAGGCCCATAGGGTTGTGGGACGTCGAGGCTCCCATATTATCTCTAGACATTCGGCTCACAGACGGTAGTGAGGTTGTCAGCCTTACGCGCCGGCCTCCCTTTACCCCCAGGAAGATTCCTGGTACTCATTTCTGTTAGAGGCTGAGCCGACCCCAGGGCCATAGTGCGGCTGGAAGGATTAGGTAAACTGAAAAATCCAATAACCTAATTGGAACTCAAACCCGCGGCCTTCCGGCTTGTAGCATAGTGCCTGAACCAACCACGCTACCACGCGGCCTCTCAGGAAGGGAAGAAAGAGAGGGTTAAGAAGAAAAGGATGAAGAACAGGAAGAAAAGAGAGAGGATGAGACAAATTTCAGGAGAATAAGAGAAAAAAGAGGAGAAAGAGAAGCTTAAGAAGAACATGATGAATGAAGAGAAAGAGGACAAGAGTGGATGTAGATGAAGAATGGGACAGTATAGAAGTAGGAAGAGATGAAAATGGAAGGGAAGAAGGATAGGAGATAAAATGAGGAAATAGAGGAGAAGGATGGTGAAAGCAATAAGAAAGTAAGAGAAATCGAGGATATTAAAGGGATGTAAAAGGGGGAATAGATTATGAAGAAGGAGAAGAAGATAATGAATTATAAGGGGGAAGAGACGGGGAAGACAAGAAAACAATTTGGATCGCAAAGAGTTAATGAGGAAGGAACGCCAACAAAAGGACAGATTCCACGATTAAGCAGAAACTTTTCTGTTTGGGGCGCAAGAAATACCGCGGTTAGCCCAGAGCCCATAAAATTAAACAAGTAAATTCAAGTTCGTCTCATGGATGAATATTCATGAACCCACGAGCGAGGTGGAGCGCGCTGAATCAGAGCAGGCGCCGTGTGTTCAGTCAGCAGAGATTAAACACGTTTCAGCCGCCATTACATGAGATTCCACACGTCTCTCTTTCTCTCTCTCTCTGTGCTCAGTCAGCTTCTTGCAACGTTCATTAACCCTTTGAAGTAAGAAGTTACTTGAGACAAATGTCGCAAAATTTTTGCATTTCTGGTTTATGGCAAATTGCGTAATTTGGAATTATAATTCAGTGGTTTCCATAGTAAAGATTTAATTATCAATAAATTTCAGTTGTGATAGTTGCATGAAATAGCAACCTCAGATCCTGCATAAAATATTTGATTTTCAATGGACTATACGGCGTCATATCCCAGAAGATACAAATCTTCAGGATTAGAATTATTCATAATAAATAATATAATCTGCAAAAATAGCATTAGAACGTAGAACACATGGATATGTTGCGTAAGAGAGTCATCACTTGTTTTAATCAGTTGCATGCTGGGAATACCTGTGGTTCTCGGTGACGTCATATGATACATGACGCTAGCAGCACCTGCCGAGTGGCCCATGAGGGTGATGCTCTGGGGGTCTCCTCCAAACATCTGAATGTTCTCTCGCACCCACAGAAGAGCGAAGTACTGATCCAGCAAACCGAGGTTTCCCCTTGCTTCCAAATTTTCCAGACAGAAGAATCCTGATATCAGAAACAAGAACCGCCAAACCATCAAAATTTACCTTTCCTTCAGACATGGCGTCTATCTGTTGTGATCGCAGGAGTTTAGATAACGTTTTCGATGGCGCAAATTTGTACTCCTATTGCTCTTTCTGCCCCGGTGAGTTCCGTGTCATTGTTTTATACGACAGGAGAGTTCTCAATAAGAGAACAGTGGCACGAAAATTTCTGAAAACTTCCGCGTTTACGACAGGCAAATTGTCGAATCGTTTTGACAAGTGACACA